GACAGCTACTTTCCGCAAAGTAACGATCTCTGTTCTACACACTTTCCATACTTGATCTGAGGATCAGATAAAGGAGAGTGATCTGGAATTTGACACATGTGTTTAAGTCATTGTATTACACCGTTTGCTGAGTGTGTCTGTTGATGAGGAACAGAGCAAGTAGTCTTGGCAAAATGCCACCTATATTACTCATGCCAAAATATTAAGGATTCGCACAGATGCTTCCTAATGTCCTCTCCATCCTAGATGACCCCGGTGCCCCCGTGTAAGACTGTCCGCCCCTCTCCCACTCCCACGACGTGATCCCCTCCAATGCTTCTCATTTCCACTCTGCTTCACCCACATGGTGACACTCTGAATCTTGTCATCATCTCCAAACCATTCCACTTTGGAGACCTTAAGCCCCAAGACTTAAGAATATTTGATGTTTTGCTCACAGTATCTACCTTATAGCTCTATACCCCCCTTGATCCCACCTACCTGCTTTTCAACCCCAACAAGACATCCTCAAACCTTGTCTCCCAATCTTTTAGCCCCCTGAGTCATGTACTAGCCATTTCTCTTCTTTCTGTTCTCAGTGGGGAAAAATGGCTCTCCCCTGTCCCGTCCCAGAGAACCCTTCAACCTGAACTCTGGACTTCAGCCCCACCCCCAAGCCCTGTTTCATTAATTATTTACTCTCTCCTCTAGGTCGTCAACTTATCTTTTCCTGGCTTTCTTCCCTCAGCACATACACAGGATCATCTCTCTTCTAACAACTACCAAGGATCATCTCTCTTCTAACAACTACCAAATAAATAAATAAATAAATCTTAGGTGACACGATCTGATAGTTTCCTTATCTAGAATCCTCTTTTCTCTTTTCTTTCAAGGTCAAGTCTTTCTCACCCTACTCTAATCCCATTCACTCCTCACCCTTCTGTAACCTGACTTCGGTCCTCACCTCTCTTCTGAAGCTGTTCCAGACCAGGCCTCAGTGACCCAACAGGCTATGGTCATATTTCACTTCTTATCTGACTTGGTATCCTCTCTAGAAAGCTTTTCCTCCTTCTGCCTCTCTTCTTCTGTGATCCTCCACTCAGTGGGGCTCCTCTTTCCCTCTGCCTGCTCCTAAGTCTCCCTAACAGGTTTCTTTTCCTCCTTCTCTTTGGTAAATGTGGATTCACCCTCCACCTCCTTCCTTTGCCACTGCCTGTATATCTCGTTCTAAGCAATTTTATCATTGTCTGTGGCTTAAGTGACCATTTATATATGCTAATGTTGTACATCCTTGGAGTCTCAAACCTATATTGCCTTCTAGACATCCATGTTTTTATGGCCTATAGGCACCTCAAACTTAATATGCCCCAAACTGAATTTATCATCATTTTCGTTTTCAAAACTGACTCTTTTGGTTCTATTTTCTAAATGTGCAGTTGGTAACAATCATCCACCCAGCAGCTCAGGCTGGACACATGAGGGAAGCCAAGCTTGTTCCTCACCGCAAGGCTCCTCTGGCTCCGACCCCTGCTGAATTCACCCACCAAGTAGCTCTTCTGCCCATCTGCTCATCTCCCTTTCTCTGACAAGGCTGAACCCACACCTCTGCATCTTTTTTTTCTGAATATTCTGTGATTTCTGGACTGTTCTCTCTGATGACAGCTTCATCTCACTCATCCAGCCCAAAGATCTGAAAGTGTTTTTTTCTTTGTCATTGTTATTCATTTATATCTTTATTTCCTTTAGTGTCTTTTTCAAGCTAAAAAAGTAATATGCTATCATTGCAAAATAGCCAGAGTTTCAAAGGCTATTAAAAACAGGTTAAAGTCACCCTGATCCGTTTCTCAAATCTTACTGCACACACACACACACACACTTTTTCCTAAAAATAGGATCTTACTGAACATGCCGTATTTCTTCTCCTTTTAAGAGAGATGTATTGTTTTTTACACTTTATCATCTCCAAAATCAATATGTACCATATAATCACTGGTGTCTTAGATTTAGTTAAATACAATATTTTTCTACAGTGTGCTTTTTTTACTCATTAATATAGGTCATGATTGCAAACCAGCACAGACTTCCCGGATGATCTTCCTTAAGTACAGATCTGGTCAGATCACTATCCTCCCACAAATTTGTCAAAGGCTCCCCTCCTGACTCCTCCTCTTTTTTATCTTCTGACTCCCTCCCACTTTGCCATCCCCCTTCCAACACATCCACACATATCCTCTTCTTTAAAGCCAAGTAGATATATTTGCAGTCAGTTCCACAAACACACTGTGCTGAGCCAGACCTTTGTGCTTTTGCGCCACTGTTTCCTCTGCCTTGTCCTCATCTCCTCTACTCAGAGTTGTCTCTTACTGAAAAAATTGTTCTGGTCCCCCAAGCTGAGCCAGGGTTCTTCCTTTACGCACCGCCCCTCAACTTCTCCAGCATCTGGTGCACATCTTTATTAAGTTACTTAACACAGGCTTGGGCCGTTTCTCTTGTTAGTTGCTCACAATAAATTGTGAGTTCTCCACTGTGTTTTCTTCTTCATATCCATTTCAGTAGTGCCAGGGCAACATGGATAGTCCATAGATATTTTTGGAAACAGTGAACAGTACTTAAGGGAGGCATAAAAATGCTCCCTGAGATGAAGTTAAAAAACATTGTAATTAACCATCTCCTTAACCAAGAGAGAAGAAGGAGGAGAGAAGGTCTGGATGCTAAATCACCTGGGCACCCAGAAATCAAAAGCAATTGCAAGTTTTCCTTTTTTCCCCTCAATTTCATTTTTTCTTTTCTCCCCTCCTTTCTGCTCTAGACCTGCTAATTTCACTATCGACTAAAGATAATCTCATTTCAGCAACCACGTCCTAGATGACCCCTTCCTTTCTCCTTAGTCTTTTAAGTGCTTTAAGTCTCTTGCCACAAAACCCTATTTTTTAACCAAGAATTCTGAAAAGTACCAAAGGGCGGCCTTTCCACTTGCCACTCTAAATCATCTACCTGAATTTCCCATGGGAACTCCTTTCTGCCCTAGGTCTGGACACTCCTTTCGGTCCCACCAACAGGCAACGCCAGGGAATAAACACAAAAGGAAGCTGAAGTTTAACACAAAACCTTTATTTTAATAACCCTCCTAAAAGCTGGAAGCTAATGTTCCACCTCAGTGGAAATAATTATCCCCCTCTCAGCCTAGTACTGCATTTAGATCTAGAAAATGCCAAAAATAGACAAAAATGTTTCCTGGTTTTCCTTTCTGGCCTAGATAACAAAGCCAAAGATTCCAATTCATTCATAGAAAAGTATCAGGTTACTGTTGGGGACTTAAAATAAATCTTAGCTCATAGCCTATGTGGCCATCAGCTAAGACTGATTTGTGTTAAAACATGTTGACATTGTGGGGCCAACATACTTCCAATACCTTCCCTTGGAAAAAAAAGAGAGAGAGAGAGACAGGAGCTCATAACACAATCAGAAATGACAGAGAAAAGAAGGAAATGGGAAAGATGAGGGGCGTAGAGGAAAGAAGAGTGGCAAAGGACAGGGCAGGAGAAAACAGAAACTTCATTATTGGAAATACATACACAGCTGACAGGACTTCAAGGAATAGACTTGCCGGCACATTTGGGTAACGAGGACATCAAAAGGAAGAGAAATGGGAAGACAGCTAAGAAAAGAATGGGGGAGGGCATGGAGCCAGGGAGGTGAGCAGATCAAACATTGAACTGTATCCTGAGAATGTAAACAAGACCTCCACTGGAGGACCTCAATGAAAGAAAGGGCAAGACCAGCCTACGGACAGACGAAATGAAGGGGAAAAGCAGCTGTAAGGAAAAGTGCTGTAATTCTACTGTTTAGAAGAGGCCAATGGAAAAAGGTAGCTCTAGCTACAAAAGGACTCAAATTAGAAAGTTCACAACCTCTGGGTGGAGAATTAGAATGTAGGGACGTTCTAGTGTTCGGAGTAGTGGGGTCTAGCCTGTAACATGCTTAACATTTTGGATGTGTGGGGGAAACCTTGCATTCACAGAGAAAAGACAACTTCACTTAAGCCAACACAAAAGAAGCTGTACAAAAATCCCTTTGGTTCACACATTTTAGAGTAAATAAAAACAAAGTAACACCGGGCATCAAATATCTTCACTGTCAAGGCATAATTACTGGTCGTTTTAGCTGCTGGGGCGATCAATGATCAAACTGATTTTTTTTCTGCACCTTAACGTGAGACAATTACAAAGCAAAAGGAATGGCCGAGACCAACCTGTAACCTTCAGAGGGAGTTTCCTTTTCAGTGCAGACTTCAGTGGTTTTGGGCACCTCATTGCCGATACCTGGGCAGTATCTCCAGACCAGGAGAGGCCTGTTTGGGATGCCAAGCATTTCCCGCGACCTCAGGCGATCTGAAATTACTACCCCAGAGCATTAATAAAGAAAGGCACCTTTTAGAGAGACCGCAGAATGCTGGTTAATATGCACCCTTTTCCTCATCCATCGACTTCAGCCATTACTTATGCAGCTCAAGGAGAAGGCAGGAACGGATCTTCCACCGCTTTTGTTTCCTACGTGGCCGAGACCCAAAGGAGCGGCCGGTCGCTTACCTGCCTTCCAGTTCCCGGGTCGGGAGCGGCTGCGCGTCTGCAGAGCGGTTGGTGGCCGGCCCCCGATCGCTCGCGGCCTCACCCACCCGCGCTCGCCCCGGCTCGGACCAGCCTGCCTCATATGGGATGGGTGACACAGGTCGGGGAGACCTCAAAGGGCGGAGGGACCGGAGTAGGCGGGTCGGACCCTTTCGCGGGAGCCCGAGAGGAGGCGTTGCCAGGGCGCAGGTGAAACCGACTCCGACCTATCCCGGGAACTTTCGCTGCCGGGACTCACTGCAGGAGGCCAGCGTCGCTCACGGGAACCTAGGGAGCCGCCCTCTCCCAGCCTCCCGGGGCTGCGTGCCGGGGGCTTCTCCCCTAGGCACCCGCGGCCCACTAGGCGCGCTCGGGGGCTGCAAGCCGCGCCAGCCACCGCGGCTGATGGAGGCGGGTGGCGCCGCCCCGGGTGCAGGTGACACTCGACAGGCCGAGGTTTCGGCTGGCAGAGGAGAGCGCAGGGAAGGTGAGACACAGACACCCCGGGCCGAGGGGACGACGTGGCAGCGATGGCCCGGGAGTTGAGCCAGGAGGCACTGCTGGACTTTCTGTGCCAGGCAGGGGGCCGAGTGACCAACGCCGCCTTGGTGAGCCACTTCAAGAGCTTTCTCCGAGACCCGGACGCGTCCCCCAGCCAGCACCAGCACCGCCGCGAGCTCTTCAAGGGCTTTGTCAACTCCGTCGCCGCAGTGCGCCAGGACCCCGATGGCACCAAGTACGTGGTACTTAAGAAGAAATACAGGGACCTTTTGGGGGAGGAGGGGCTGCAGCGACCCAGCGTCCTGCCCGCGGCCGCCGCCCCTGCAGGTGGGGCTGCGCCCTGCTCCCCGCCAGGCGCGCGCCGAGAGGAGGCGCCGCCGCAGCAGCCGCAGCAGCAGCCGCCTAGGCGGCGGCGGCGGCGGCGCGAGAAGGAGCAAGAGGAGGAGCCAGCAGGTGCCGCAGCTCCAGCGGCTGATCCAGGTTGCAATGGACTCCCCGCCAGCGGCGCCCGGCAGGCCCGGGAAGGCGGCGGGCTAAGACGCGGCTCCCGTCACAGGGCGCAGGTATCCGCAGCTGCGGCGGCAGCTGCCCAGGTCGGAGCGAATTGCGCGGCGGCGGAGACGCAAGGCCGCTGCTCCTGGGAAAGTCTCCAGAACGGCCCGGGAATACTCCCCGGGGCGCCTCCTCTGCCCGGCGCACTCCCCGACCCCGCCACCGCTGGGAAGGAGACGCCGCAGGGTCCGGCTGCCCAAGACGACCGCGGGGCTCCCAGGCAGGAGCGGGAAGGCGCTCCCGCTGAGCACGCGTGGGTGCCCGCAGCGCCCCTCCCGCCGCCTCCGACCGTCGAGGCTACTGGGAGCGAGGCTTCCCAGACCGCCCCCCTGTCCCGCCCTCCTTCTCCCGGAGACCCGCCGGAGCTGTGGACCCCCAGCGATCTGCATTATTCCGCGCAGCAGCAGCAGCAGCAGCAGCAACGCACTCGAGAATGGGTGGCCAGACATCCCCACATACCCGAGGCCCGGGACCATGGCCCCATCAGAGCCTGGTCAGTGTTGCCGGACAACTTCCCCTCGGAGCAGGGGTTCTGGGTCGCAGAACCTAAATCGGCGCCTTTAGACCCCTCTCTTTCCCCTCAGTCTCACTCTCCTGTTGTTCCGGAATCCTGGCCCGGGAATCCTCCATTGACCGTCTTTCGTAGCATTCGTTGTCAGCTGTCCCTCCAAGAACTGGATGACTTTGTGGACCAGGAGAGCCACAGCAGTGAGGAGAGCAGCAGTGGACCCAAAGAGTCCCCTGGGGGTTCTGAAGAGGGGCTGCACGGTGCCCTGGGAACCCCAGATTGGAGAAAGCTTACGAATTCAGCTGGTGGCCTTTCTCCAAAGGAGGGCAGTTCCAGCAGGAGCCCTCAGGGCCTCAGGAACAGAGAGGATGGGCACACTTCTCAGCAGGTCCCAAGAGGGGCTAATGGCCTTGTAGGCCGCCCACAGGAGGCTTTGCCTTGGCCAGCTCCCAAGTTAAGGAGATCCCTCAGGAGGAGCTCTGGGGTGGGGAAAGCCAAATCCTCCTCTTCCGATGAGGAGTGTCTTGAGGAGGACTTGCTGAAAAGGAGTCGGCGCCCACCACGGTCCAGAAAGCCCTCCAAAGCAGGAGCAGTGTCCAGCCCCAGGGTGGATGCTGCTTTGACACCCAAACCTGCTAACATTAAGGGTGTTGCTGCTGAGAGGGGTCGGCTACACAGCTTGTGGGCCCCAGGTAGGCAGGAGCCTGCAGCCTTGGTCCCGCACAGGCCTTCTGAGCACAAGTCATGCCTGGTCCCTCTAGATGCCAGGGAGCATGAGTGGATTGTGAAGCTTGCCACAGGCTCTTGGATTCAGGTGTTGGCTTTGTTCTGGGAGGATCCCCAGCTGGCTTTGCACAAGGACTTCTTAACTGGGTACACTGCTTTGCACTGGATAGCCAAACATGGTGACCTCAGGGCCCTTCAGGACTTGGTCTTGGGCACACAGAAAGTAGGAATTGCTCTTGATGTAAATGTGAAGTCCAGTTGTGGGTACACCCCTCTGCACCTTGCAGCCATTCATGGCCACCAGGGAGTCATGAAATTGCTAGTGCAAAGGTTGGCTTCTCGGGTCAATGTCCGGGACAGCAGTGGGAAGAAGCCGTGGCAGTATCTGTCTAGTAATACCTCAGGAGAAATATGGCAGCTCCTGGGAGCCCCTCGGGGCAAGCCTATTTTTCCTGTCTATCCCTTAGTTCGAAGCTCTTCCCCTACCAGGAAGGCCAAGATCCGGGATATACCTAGAAATATCACCCGAAAGACTTCCTTGGCTGCATTACTCAAAAGTCAGCACCACAAATGGAAATTGGCTAACCAGTATGAGAAACTCCTCGCTCCAAGGGAAAGAGAGGAGTACAGTGACTAAGGTGGGCCCCTTTCTCTGACACGCAGCCACTGCACCCCCATCCTTGAGCTACTCAGAAAATTCAAGAGGAATAGAAAAATGGCTGAGGAGTTGGTACAGAGAGAGGTCAAGTGAGATGGCCTACCTAGTGTTTACCTGCCTGGATTTTTTTGTCAGCACATCGTGGATCTCAGGGATCATTCAAGCTTTCTGACAGCTCAAGTACTTGGGCCAGTGAAACCTCTACAAGGGGCACAGTCAGGTGCTTAAAACCCAGCATGTGTTCTCCCTCTTCCCTGGCACCTCAGATCCGGGCACAGTAAGCCGCATTGTTTTTTGAAGCAGCAATGCCAGGCCTTGGCTAGAGAGGGAACAGATGTCTAACAAGAAGGGAGGCACTTCGAGGAATTGACAAAGCTCAAATAAAATCCTCTCTGGCTGGTAGCATTTTGGCTTCTGTTCATTTGGAGAATAATTTGAGAGTAGAAAGCACCAGATTTGAAATCAGATGCCTCCTCTTTTTTCATTCTTTTAGAAATCTTTTTTCTTCTTTCATTCTTTTCTTTTTCTTTTTGCCCTTCCTTCCTTTCTCCCTCCCTCCTTTCCCATTCAAATTAGTGAAATAAACTTATTACCTGAGAGCCGAATCTGATTTAAGAGATTCCTTAGCTCTGCCCTGGTCTCTCTTTAGATACAACCTAGGGAGGCAAATACATGGAATGATTAGTGCCTCCTTTGGGTCTCCTCCAAAATCAGAGAAGCTGTTGGATAAGATCCAGTTATGACTGATGTTCAGGCCCTAATTCAACCTAAGGTAAACCTTCCAAATGTAATCACTGTTGGCTCATTTGCCTAGTGACTGAAAACAGCTTTCAATGGAAACTCCCTGTGTCACGAATGGCAGAATTAACATTAGCGGTCTTCAGTAGGTTTGAATGGCCAACGTTCACATTCATTAAAGGAGAGAAATGATTTCACTGTGGGGAAGCAGTAGGGAGAAAGTGGTGAATTCCTCCCCACTAGGAATTGTTTAAGCTGCTAAATATAATTTTATTTGCACTAAACTTGTTGCCAATTAAGATTAAATATTAGCCTGAAGTGCTGTACCTCTAACAGGAAGTGCTCCTCTTAATTGCTTGTGACGGGACTGGGACTGATCTTTGTGGGTCCCTGAAATGAGAATGTCAAGATTTCAGAGTGTAAATTCAAAGGGTTAAAAAATGAAATGTCCAAGTGGAGATTGTTAATTTTTTATGGAACTGTTTCCATGTGCTGTGGCAATGATGATGTCTTTTAAAAGTATTTTTGTATTTCTTCTGGTTATCGCCCCTCCCCATTTAAATGTCAACAAATCTTTATAACTTATTGTATTTATGCTGATTACTGTTTACTTCTTTACAAAACTGTGTCTCAGTGACTGTCAAATAGTTTTGTTTGTAGTTTTACTTTATAATTTTGCTGAAATAAACATTATCTCTGTTCTATTGAAAACATTAAAATAGGCATAATAAAGAAATCTAAGTATTGTTTTTTCCAAAGAGACCTATACAAGTGATGAACTTGGGTAAATCAAGTCAAGAAAAAAGAGGGGTCAGCCCCAGACAGCGGGGCCATGGTTAGGAGAGATGAAAATTTAAAAGAATAAAAGATAAACATCTATGCAAATACTTTTGTAAATCAGTGTTTTTCAAGGGAAAAAATTACAAAAATACCCACTTCTTTAAAAGCCAAAGACTGTTTTTACTTTACCATAGTTTTATCACTACATCAATTTATTCAACCAATATGTTTTGCTTAGTGCCGTAGGAGTTATAGGTAGGTAGGTCATGACCCCTTTCTTCTTGAAACTTAAAACATATCAAATTTGTTGTTGAGTGATTTATACCCCATCTTGCTCCCGAGGTATCTTTAAAAGCTGCATTAGATATAAGCTTTTAAAATGAGGCAAAAAGAAAAAAGGTGGTACCAGGAATGAGCACAAAATAACCATAATGCAAGAAAAAAATTTCCAAGTGTCGTAAGTACAAAATTAAGTGCTCCAGAATATTTCAGAGAGTTTCCTTTGGGCTGGGAAAATCAGGGAGGGCTTCACTGAGGCCAGGAGTCTTTCAGTGAATGGTGCAGGCTTTCCAAAGAAACCAGCTTTGGTGGTTCTACCACATTCTTAACTTCTGCTTCAATGTGTGATTTGCATAGCACTGGTGTGGGCTGATTGTTCCATGGTCAGAACACAGTCCTGGGATTTCAGGTTGGTTCTCATAAGGACTCAGATCACTCTGGCCTTTGTCCGCATGTTGTACTTGTGACTCTGGTCAACTCTCCTACGTGGTCAACATGTGTGTTGGGAGGAGCCAGGACAGAAGAGGGTGTGAGCACAGAGTTAAAACATAGACCTAAAACACAGATCCGAGCGAATCACCCTCTTGCTCATGTAAATTTCAGGCCAGGAGAGCTGCCAGGCCCAGCACATTTTTCCAGCCTCCTGCCAACCAATCTCTGCCATGAGCCCTGTGCCAAAGGCACACCAGCCCACCTGTCAGTTTCCATGTTGGTGCTGAATTCCTTCAGCTTAGAATCCCCTTTTGTTGCTTTCCTGGTGAAAGTACTCTTATTTTCCCTGGGACAGTTCAAATATCCCCAGAGCAGTTCAAATCATGAAGTTTCCAGGGTAGAGACCTATAAATCAGAGGACGTAGCGCTCCTTCATCAGAATTCTCATAATACTGTGCCCACATTCCACTTACAGTTTTGCCATATAGTACTTTAGTAAATTGTTTGCATGTTTTGTTTTTCCTTAAGACTTTGAATGTCTGGAGATTAGAGACTGCATTTTCAACTCATCTAAGTTTACTAGATATACGTGGATCATCTGTTATGTGATAAAAACAGAGAGTGTGAGGGTGGGGTAACTGAACACTAATTCCAGAACAGTGAGGTAAGTGGATAGACATGTGCATCAAGACTAGGAGAATACAGAGAAGCGGGTATTTGTGGAGCACTTTCTATGTATCAGGCTTTATGTTTTTGTTGTTGGAAATACAACATTCAGTAAGATATACATGTTTCCTGCTCTCATGGCACTCTTCCTGGAGAGAGGGGAGCCAAGAAGGCAAAATGGAAGTTAGATGGGCTTTGAAGGGCCAAGTGGAGAAAGGAGGAAAGAACATTGCAGAAGGAGTAGGAGCAAAGCTGCAGGATGCGTTGAGGGAATAGTCAGCCACCTGTGATTGTGAGAGATGCGTGGCTACTGCTTTGTGACACAGTGAGGTGGTGTGGAAAGAGATGAAGGTAGAAAGGTAACTTAAGGCCAGATTGAAAAAAAAGATTTTATAATATGTCAGTTTTGATATGGCATTCTCTAGGATGCCAGAGATTGTCAAAGCTCCTTCAGAAAACCTTAGAGTTATTCCAGATATAGATGTTTTACTAAAGTCTCAATTTGAGGACAAAAAATATACCTCAAAGTTTTATATACAGCGTACTTCATTTTAAACTTTCCCTTTCCAATTTTTCTTACTTTTGATGTTAATGCTTTTTCCTAGGAAATAGTAGTAGGCAACAAAATAATATAACAAATGGCAAACATTAGAAACTGTTGAAAACCTTAGCTCAACTACTTGCTTTTTTAAAGACAGCTGTAAAGTAGTGAATTTTAATCTTGTAAATAAACTGGTATAGACCATAGTCCTAATTTCTGCTAGTAAAATCGCTTCTGGTTCAACATTTCAGGGTATTACCCACGGCATGCCATGACTCCCAGATGCTTTGATTCCTCTATAAATTTTTCTACAGAGCAACTTCATGGAAATATAATTTACATACCATACAATGAACCCATTTAAAGTGTAGAGTTCAATGGTTTTTAGTAAATTCACAGAGTTGTGCAATCTTCACCACAATGAATTGCCGTAGGAGTCTGAGGACCACGGACCCCACAGACGGCGGAGCCATTGGGCAGCTGGCTGCGCGGGAGCAACATAAATAGGCTGAGGGGAAAGGAGGATTTCTCTGGTCACAGTAAGAAGGACAAGCTAGAAGCAGAAATCAGTTAAGGGTTTATAGTGTCTTAGTTTCACACTGGAAATATTAGGAACGTTGGTTCAATCAGCTGAATAAAGTGAGTAAGATTGGATGTCTACAAAGGGGAAGAAAATTTTTGTTGGAGGGGCTGCTTTGGTTAATAAGAATTAGAAAGAATTAGGTGAGATCCAAAAAGAGCTCTCTGTTTCCTCTCCTTTCTCAAACGCCCTGGTTTAGTGATGAAATCATTTCAGTACCGTGATGACAGTCTAGGTGCCTGGTGGCACTGATCTGAGAGGGTAAGTTCAATCTCAGGCAGTTTAGCACAGTGGTACTGTTGTGTGTGCTTATGTTTGCTGATACCAAATGATTAAGAAGGTGTAGTGAAAGGGTAGAACAGTGCCGTGCTTCAGCTCCCGGCAATGAATCGAGGCTGTCTGCGTTTCTGTCCGAGCTTGGAGAAGATCTTCAACTTCTAGTTTTCTTATGTTATGATGGGTTTTTTCAAGAGCATCCAATGAATTAATACAGCATTCTTAGAAAATGCCTGACACATAGTAAATTCTCAATGAATGTTAGCTATTATTATTTTTGAACACTGATCAAAATATACAGATCTCTTTGTATTTTCACCTATGCTGAAGAAAAAGAAACTCTCTAGTTGACTGAAAAGGTGCTACAAGAATAGGACTTACTAATAAAGCCAAACATTTTTCCTTATACATCTACATAAAAAAGGTACTTGTGTTTCTCATTTCAAATGAAAAAGAACTATTCAGCTCTCTCTTGTGAGTAACAATCACTAGCTATCATGATATGTCATTGAACAGAATGATGTCTAATTGAAGTCACGTAAACTAGCACCCAACAAATAAGCAACTCTGGTGTGGCCTCAACTGAAACCCAGGAAGAGCTCTGAAGGGCCGAAGCTGATGGGGAGGTGTGTGTATGTGTATAAAGCCACTATCACTTAAGAAATGGGAATATCTAAGTTTAACCATGCAATAAACTTTATCAGAATTTCACTAATGGTCAAGATAAAGTCTCATCTTGGATTAAAAATTATTGATGTATTAAATGATACCTTCTCCTTGGTGTGAAAATAGTACTTTTTGATTTCTAGTTCCCAAATTTGACTTCTTTTTTCTACTTTTAAGACTTGGGTTTTTAAGAAGGTGCATAGCTCTATGTAAACCATGCCTCAGTCAAACAAGAAAGTGACAAGACAAATAGGAGAAAGATATTTATCAAATCCTTCAAATTACCAATTGGAGCCAAAATCAGGACTGTGTTTTGAGAGGGTCTAATTCTTCCATGCGTCTGATTTCTCTTTTTGGGTAGAGTGAACACTTCCAAATCTAACAGTTATTACCAGATATCTCTGTACAATCATGCTTTCTGAAACCATAATTGTTAATCATATAGAACTTGAAGCTTTTGTTATTATATTTACGTCCCCAAATAGAATTAGCTTTCTAGTGAACTCCTATCCTTTGGTGTGGATCAGGGAAGAGCTTCAGTGACATGGATATGGTGAACAAATTGACTTGCCACAATCTCACGATGGGTCTCATTGCCTAAGAGACTGGACTAGCTAAAGTAGGGCCGGAGCAAGGAGGAATGGGGCCAGACATAGCCCCGTTTCCCTAGTGGCTTGAGGAAGCAGGCTTGCCAAATCATATAAGGGTGTCTAGGTCAGAGGACTTGGAGTTTCTAATTAAAACAAACTTTTAAAAATCAACAAAGTGAATGTTCATTCAGCAGATGACAGTAACCTTACCTGAACTGAGGGTCCAGGGAGAACCACACTGAATTTTCTTTCTGATAAGAGCTAGAATATATCCACCTGAACAGGAATAGCCACATGCTTACAGTGTTTGGACATTGCCTGAGGGTTCTCCTCAGTTTCCCACCTGGTTTGACCCTAAATGGTATATGCTAAATATGAAATCTCTATGAGCTTTGATCCTGTGAGGAAAGGAGAGACAAGGAAGGGGAAAAAACATACCAAGAGCATTAAGCTGGCCTCAGATCTTCAGGATGGACAGTGCTAAAATGTACAAATTACAATGGATAACAGCAAATGGGGAAAATAAGAACAGAAGCCTGATTTTGCTTTATCCTGATTTCACTATAGAAATTATAATGTGATCCCTAAGGAGCACGTAAACTAAGTAATGCTTCATAATAACGTGGAACGACTACCTGTGGAGCCGTCTTTCTATGCATTGAGGAGAGGTCACAAAAACGTTGCCCTGGATTTTTTGGACAAGATTCTTGATACCTGTCATGAAGTCCTGGGAAAACTTGTGAAATTTGGGGTATGCTCTATACATTTCTTTCAGGAGCAGTGAATTAAATGTGAATGATCTTTCATAGACAGCTTTCTTCCTATCTTTGTTTTTGGCCAACTATGGCAGTCAA